ACTGCTGTAGATGGTAAGAGGGCCGCTGAAGATCAAAGCAGCCGCAACAGGAATGAGCGGCGGAGCGGGATGAGAGGAGCAACAGGTTGTCTGTGTCTATGCTGGAAGTAGGATAGGAAATGGTCCTTCTAGGGCTAAAATAAAACAGCTTTTTTTAAAGCTTGATGTAGCGATCTAACTTGAATGGATCTCGTCATCTCGTCATCACTTGACAAGATGGATAAAGCGAAGTTGCTGGAGCCATCTTGTACAATGGAGGTCTCCGTATTGATGGAGGAGAGGTTCATGTCGCTGCAATGTGCAGTTTGACCATTTGATGTTACTGAAAATAAAACATTTTAGCTTTGAAGTTGTATAATTATTTTGGATGCTGCTAAAGTAATTAAAATCTAAAACTAAATTGTTTCAAAGCCAAAACAGCAGCTGTACCCATGTTTCCTTTTCAACAGCCTATGCAATTCATTTTAGGGGTTACTCATTTCTGCCAGTATGTGAGCCTTAATATCTATATTTTACAATTTCTACATTTGAGTTACAGACAGGCTAATGATACATTATAATTAAATGTTAAATAGTTTGGGTAAAAAATATGAATTAAAAATGTCTTTAGACCAATTTGTGCAACACTCTGTTTTTTTTCAATGAAGGTTGAGGTTTTTGCACCGAGGAGCAGTGATATGCATCACTGTGGAAACTAGCAGCACAGAAGTAAACAGCACTGCTGCTCACATTGAGCTTTTTTATTGTCAGAGTGCAGTTCTGGTCTTTATCTGCACTCCCTTCAATCTCCACTTACACTCCAGGTTCAATAGTACTGCGGACAGTATACATATAACCGAGGAGCTGGAGCTGCCTGTCCTCTGATCTCTTGTACCAAAGCATAACGTTGTAGTTCTGAATGCTGTGAGAGCAGTTGATAACGGCTGAGTTTCCTGGATTTGCTTGAATGTAAAGTGGAGATCGGGCGGACTTGATTACTGAGAGAAGAACCTGTGGAAGAACAAAACAACATGCATTTGTATAATTCAACATTGGGAAAAAAAGAACATGACACAAAATTAGTGTTGCGCCGATGCCGATACCCGATACCTGGCTGTGCAGTATCGGCCGATACCGATACCATAATAATGTAAAATAATCGCCATCATAACTTTGTCAAGTTGCTGCCTACCTTTGTGAAGCAAGAAAAAATCTAATACAAAGTGAATCCACTAGAACTTTTTATTGCCTACCAGGAATGGGTGACAATAGTTGAATAAACTTATGGCTCTCAAAATGGTATCGGCTCCCTATTTGTTGGTACTCGCCGATACCGATACCATCATTTTAGGGCAGTATCGGGGCCCCGTGCGATACTGGTATCGGTGCAACACTACACAAAATACAACACCATACAACACCACACTGGTTTAGGTTATGATATTGTAATACAGTAAAGAGTGATTACCTGAAAACAGCAGAGTGTTGAGGGTTATTATTAAGATGACGACTCTCATTCTGTCATGCATCATACTGCTGTTACTGTGATATGCTCAGCAGCCTATTTAATGGTTTAAAGCCTCTAATTTGAGGCTACAGCAGAGAATGAGTGCTCTATAGGTGGGCGTGGTTACAGCAGGCTTAAAGTCTACTATCATATTTGTCATATAACATATGGTCTAACCTTATCAAAGCAGGTAATACAGTTGCAGAGGAGGGTAATGAAAAGAGGAGCAGTAACATGCAGTACCGTTGTAGTGAGCAGCACATAAGTAAACTGCTTTTAATGCTGAGTGCTTTGAATGTTGGCGTGCAAGTGTTTCATTCCCTTCTGTCCCTTATCTGATATTGTATGTGTTTGTGGTTTTTACCTGAAACCAGTATGGTCTGCACTTTTATGCAACAGGGAACATTCTCAGTTCTTTCTTAAAACCTGTTAGATTATTCCTTTCTATTGTTAATGTATATGCATGTTAAACTCTGATATTACTTACCTGTAAAGTATTAATGATAATGTTTAAGGCTTTTTAAGGCAAGGAGTTTATGAATTAAGACAGTTTTCTGTCAGGGTGCATTTGGACTGTCCTTGATCTATTGTTAGAAGACGCTGTATTATCTTGATTAGTTTGGAGCCAGTGATGTCTCCTCATTTACAAACAACGTCTATATGATGTAATTATTTGAGGATGTGAGTGTGAATGCAGATGTATAAAAAGCTTCTGTAACTGTTATTAAGGCCTCTTTTCCTAATGAAAGCCCCATAAGGCCTGTGTTTTGAAACCTGAGCCATTTCTCTGGTCTAAGCTTAAATTCTACCCATGTTTTCTAGTAATTTTATACTTAAACATTGGAAACTGCTATTTAAGTGTTTTTCTCAGTGATCTCTTCTCATGAAAGAATCAGGGAGAACTAACTTGGCTTTCCTTTAACAGGCCCTACAATGTTCTAGCCCTGTTGTTATCATTATAAATAGTATAATATATTTTGGTGTGCCTCCATGCCTCAACTCAATTCAACTTTATTTATAAAGCCCTTCAAAACAACCACAGCTGCCACAAAGTGCTGTAAATATCAGGTAAATCCAAAATTGTAGAAAAACAACACATGCATGAAACAAATAAAAAAAACAATAAAAACTGCTTAATAAAATATAATAAAATATAATAAAATATAGAGTTTTAAAAATAGACAGTGAAGGTGATTTTCTAATGAGGAGGGGGGGCTCATTCTACAATTTTGGAGCAGCAGCTGAAAAAGCTCCACCTCCTCTTCTGAATGGTCAAACTGTTTTGTCAACTACAGCTTCAGCAGTCATGAATTTTACATTCACCATAGCTTAACCAATCAGATTCAGAACTGCATTCAATCAAAATAAGAAAGTAAAACATTTATGTAGCTTCAAAGATTCTATCACAATGTTCTGGGTGGTAACTTTACAGGAAGTATTTAATATGTATCCTTGTAAAACCACACAGAAACATAGAATTGTACTTAATATACCTCTAGAAGATTTTTTATAAAAAGTTGTTTAATATTAACTTGTAGCACACTCAAAGCCTTTTAATGAAATCCAAAATTCGACATAGTAAATTGCCATATCAACACAGATATAAGCGATTTTGACAAGTGCATTTATTGTAGTATTTCTTAAATAGTTGATCTCTATGCAACTGTTGAGTGAATCATTCATCAAGAACATTTGTTTATTTCTTTACGTTTTTATGTTAGCACAGAAATTCAGTACCACCGTATATGCAAGTTACATCAGATATTTTCCTATTTTCACTTCCTTCCGATTATCCACTGCAGTATTGTGGAACTACCTCCAACTTTGATGCTTTCTTAATGGTTGTGTTGCTAATGCAGCATAATTTTTTTTTTTTATCAAGCTACTGCGGTAAAACTTATGGCTCCCTGTGCTGCAATTAGAAAATACAAAACACAATGTTTCCCCTCCGTCCTTGATCAGGCAGCAGCTCCATCACCTAAACATAGAAATTATAGAACTCTCACCTGAGGAAACCGCCTTGAGCCGCAGGAACAGCTTAACTGTGGATCACCCTCACTTGCAGAAATTCTGTTCTCTGGGGTGTCAAAGTTTGTAAGTGCTCTGATGACACAAAAATATCAGCAGTTTCTGTCAAGGATTTGTTGACTATCTTTGCTAAATTAAGTTATGCAGCAATTAAAATTTGCCCAACTTGTTTTGTTCAGAGTTTGCAATGTTCTGTGGAAAGCCAAAGCTGACACACGTTCAATTAATTAAAAAGTTGCAAGATTTCTATTTGTAAATGTAAGACTTTCAATGTTAGTTGCCATGCATGCATTAGATCAATAAATATAGTATTTTATCCTAAATAAATAAATAATCATACATTTTCCTTTGTTAAAGCACTATTTCTGATTTTCATTGAACATATAAAACAGGCATATTTTCTAATTATAACAGACAGTACCACCAATATAGAAAGACAGATCTTAACCACAAAAAAAATAAATAAAACAAAAACACAACAAACAGTAACAAGCAGGGCAGATGTAATGATTCAGAGTTCCAGGTCCAGACCTAGTAGATTGTTCACATATGTTACTACAAAGTCCCAGGTTTTGGGAAATCTGATTTCTTTTCTACACTTCCAAATTTTTAAATTAACCGTTAATTACATATTTATCTTGCTTCCCAGAGAGGATACTTAAAAATATGTATCTTACATCAAGGTCAGGCTCTATTTAAGAATGAACAATGCTTCCCTCCTCTGGATGGAGACCACACTACAACACTGAAAGAAGGGAACTTGAGACTATAAGATTGAATGAAATATAATGGAGTGGAGAAATCTAAGGTAAAAAAAAAAAAACAACAACACTAGAGCAAGACTTTACAGAAGACAGATTTATAATAGAAATGTGTTTTGTCTGTCTTCTTAAAGTAATTACTGGATTAAAAAATAAAACCAATAGCATTTAGTAAACAGCTTCCACCTGTAGATATAATAGAAAAGAATAGAAAATATATTTATTGTCCCGCAATGGGGAAATTCATGTGGTGTTACAGCAGTAAAAGCATTACAGCAAAAGTGGTCACACAAATGTGGACCTTAAAAAGTGTATAAAAATAACAGAATAAGTGACGGAGTTAAGAAAATAAATGAAATTCTATGCAGTCATCTGAAGAATAAACAATAACAGCTGTGGACCTTTTAGGAGTAATGGATATGTGAAAATAGCAGCAACACCAGAGATGTGCAAAATTGATTGCAGCATGTTTTTTTGAAGTGACTAAGAAAGAAACTGTGGCAAAAATTGTCATGAATTATCATGAATTAGCATGAATGCAGCTACTTCTTGAGGTTGTTGGGAATGGTGGTGGTTATAAAGTCGTACAGCTGCTGGGAGGAAGGATCTGTGATAACGCTCCCTGGTGCGTTTAGGGTGCAGCAGTCCGTCACTGAAGGACAGCTTCATGCATGGGGATGGGAGACATTATCCAACAGAGATGTTATTTTAGTTAGGGTTTGTTTCCCACCTCCTGCACTGAATCCAGTGGGCATCCAATCATACAGTAGAGCTGGCCTTGCTCAGCTTATCCAGCTTATCTCTCAGTCATTACTTCCACAGACAGCTCCATAGAAGATGGCTGATTCCACAACCAAGTCGAAGAAGGTCTTCTGTAGCGCCCTCAGCACTCCAAAAGACCTTAGTCTCCTCAGCACGAAGAGTCTGCTCTGACCCTTCTTTTACAAAACCTCAGTCCAGCCAAGTTTAATGCTCAGGTGAACACCTAGGTCCTTTTAAGAGTCCACTATCTCAATATCTGTTCCCTTGATGTTCACCAGTGGGGTTGATCTACTTCTCTGATATTCCACCACTAGCTCCTTGGTTTTCCCTGCATTAATCAGGAGGTAGTTCTGCTGACACCAGACCATGAAGTCCTAAGTCCACTGTCTATAGTCTGAGTTGTCGCCACCTGTAATAAGGCCAACTATGGCTTCTGGAGGTGGCAGCATGGTGAGTCGATGGAGAAGTTTATTTTTGAGTTACTCTTTGTTTGAATCAGTTGTTTTCATGTAGAAGCAGGGGAGAGGGATTGTGAAATGTTCTATCTTGGAAGCTTTTGGTGCCAGTTCATCTTCTAGGAAGTGCCAGCCTTTTTTACTCCTGTTCATTATGTCTCCGACACAGAGCAGCGCTGCAGAAGGCTTTATCAGAGCAGTCGGAAATATTATTACATTTTTAAAAGACTAAACTCAGCCACTGTCAGTGTGTGTGATGGAGGTTTGATGTCACTACAGAGAAAGGAAATGTTGGATATGAGAGGATCTCATTAGTGACACAATGTGTGGTTGGGCCTGAGGTGAGCAGAGCTCAGAGGTTTTTGTTCAGCTCACACATGTGTTTGTATCACTGTGTTTTGACAC